GACAATTATGTGTCTTGGAGTTGCTGTTCTCGAGGAGTATCTTTGTGGGGTTCTCTGTATTTCCTGAAGTTGAATGTTGGCCTGCCTTGCTAGGCTGGGGAAGTTCTCCTGTACGATATCCTGCAGAGTGTTTTCCAACTTGGTTCCATTCTCCCCATCACTTTCAAGTACACCAATCAAATGTAGATTTGGACTTTTCACATAGTGCCATATTTCTTGGAGGCTTTGTTCATTTCTTTTTATTCTTTTTTTCTCTAACCTTGTCTTCTCACTTTATTTCATTAATTTGATCTTCAATCACTGATACCCTTTCTTCCACTTAATTGAATTGGCTATTGAAGCTTGTGCACACATCACGAAGTTCTTGTGCCATGATTTTCAGCTCCATGAGGTCATTTAAGGTCTTCTCTACACTGTTTATTCTAGTTAGCCATTCATCTAATCTTTTTTCAAGGTTTTTTAGCTTCTTTGCGATGGGTTCAAACATCCTCCTTTAGCTCAGAGAAGTTTGTTATTACCAACCATCTGAAGCCTATTCATCAAAGTTATTCTCCATCCAGCTTTGTTCCATTGCTGGTGAGGAGCTGTGATCCTTTGGAGAAGAGATACTCTGATTTTTAGAATTTTCAGCTTTTCTACTCTGGTTTCTCCCCATTTCTGTGGTTTTAACTACCTTTGATCTTTGATGTTGGTGATCTACAGATGGGATTTTGGTGTAGATTATCTTTTTGTTGATGTTGATGCTATTCCTTTCTGTTTGTTAGTTTTCCTTCTAACAGTCAGGTCCCTCAACTGCATGTCTGTTGGAGTTTGCTGGAGTTCCACTACAGACCCTGTTTGCTGGGTATCACCAGAGGAGGCTGCAGAACAACAAATATTGCAGAACAGCAAATATTGCTGCCTGATCATTCCTCTGGAAGCTTCATCCCAGAGGGACAGCTGCCTATATGAGGTGTCTGTTGGCCCCTACTGGGAGGTGTCTCCCAGTTAGGCTACATGAGGGTCAGCGACCCACTTGAGGAGGCAATCTGTCCATTCTCAGAGCTCAAACACCATGCTGGGAGAACCGCTGCTCTCTTCCGAGCTGTCAGACAGGGATGTTTAAGTCTGTAGAAATTGTCTGCTGCCTTTTGTTCAGCTGTGCCCTGCCCACAGAAGTGGAGTCTAGAAGCAATAGGCCTTGTTGAGCTGTGGTGGGCTCTGTCCAGTTCAAGCTTCCTGGCTTTGTTTACATACTCAAGTCTCAGCAATGGCAGACGCCCCTCCCCCAACCAGACTGCTGCCTCACAGACTGATCTCAGACTGCTGCACTAGCAGTGAGCAAGCCTCTGTGGGCGTGGGACCTGCCAAGCCAGGCACAGGAGAGAATCACCTTGTCTGTAGGTTGCTAAGACCTTGGAAAAAGTGCAGTATTTAAGTGGGAGTGCCCCGTTTTTTCAGGTAGTCTGTCAGGGCTTCTTTCACCTAGGAAAGGGAAATCCCCCAACCCCTTGTGCTTCTCAGGTGAGGTGACACCTCGCCCTGCTTCACCTCACCTTCCGTGGGCTTCACCCACTGTCCAACCAGTCCCGATGAGATGAACAAGGTACCTCAGTTAGAAATGCGGTAATCATCCATCTTCTGCATGGATCACACCGGGAGTTGCAGACTGAAGCTGTTCCTATTCAGCCATCTGGAGCTGTTCCTATTTGGCCATCTTGGAATGCCCCCCATTTCCTCTCTAATATTTCTAAATTACTGCTCCAAATAAACTGACACCTAGTGTTACAAATAAGTCCTCATTATTTTAATAATTAGAAAATAAGCATAGAAAAAGAAACACTTATTTTATGTTCCTTGTCCCCACTATGATACCAGTCAATGGGTGATGTCTAAATCATCATGTTTGTTTTTGCAAGAATACATCACTATCAGATTTATTGCAGGCAGAAATGAATAAAACAGAAAAAAATCCTACACCTGGTTTACTGATATGTACCTCTGGACCAAAGGACAACAGCAAAGAGGTTGTAATTGAACCCACATAACCCATTCCCTTCATCAGAAAAGAGATATATCTATCCCATTCCTTCATGAGCAGCCAACCTCATTTCTGTTCTGTTCAGGTCAGCCCATGGCAACCTGAATGTCAATGTCAAGGACTATAACCCCTTGATGGCAGAAACTGTGGTGATGTAATCACTACAATAGTAATATCAAGGTGAATAACTTGGAAATCACTGGCCTGGTGTATCTCTCATGTCTCTCTTTCTCCTACAAAATCCATATGACCCTAGTTTGCCAGGGCCCTGAACCACATAATAAGCATGTGACATACAATACCTTGTTTAATCCTCACAGCACCCTAGAATTAAGTAGAGTCATCCCTCAGTATCCACGTGGGATTGGTTCCAGGATTCCCACAGATATCAAAATCCACAGATGCTCAAGTCCCTGATATAAAATGGTGTAGTATTTGCATATAACCTACACACATCCTCAGACCTTACATCATCTCTAGATTACTATAATACTTAATCTAAGGTAAATGGTATGTAAATAGTTGTTATACTGTATTGTTTAGGGAATAATGACAAGAAAAAAGTTTGTACATGTTTAGTACAGATACAATTTTTAAAAATATTTTCAATCCAATGTTAATTGAATCCATGAGTGCAGAACCCACAAAAATGGAGGGTCAACTGTACAGATAGCTCTATTTTATACATAAGGGCACAATGCTCAGAAAGTTTAAGTACTTTGTCCAAGGTCACATAGCTAATAAGTGTCAGGGCCAGGCCTGAAACCCAGGTGTGACTCCCCAGCTTATACCATTTATGGTATATATCAAGTCTCTGTGGTCCTTTCCTGGAGTCCACCTGGCCCACTCTTTGCTTTACTGACTTCTCATTCTTGAAGTTTTAGCTCCAATGTCACCTCTCCTGACCAGACCAGTCTAGTGTAACATCACTCTTGCTTCCTCTTACAGCACTCATCATAGTCTGCTATCGCCAAGTTATTTGTTGATTTGTTGGCCTTCTCCCCTTGAACATAAGTTTCATGAGAGCAGGTCCTTAACTGCCTTGGTCATCATGGTGTTCCTAGTGCCTGAAGCACCTGGCCCTAGGAGATATCCAGTAAATATATCTGTTGAATATTCATTGAATGAATTGTATTGATTTTTTCTGGGACATGCTCATGCAGGTGTTGGCAAAAGCCTAGTTCTCCATCATTATCAGCAGAATGTTGAATAGACTTAGAGTAGAGATCCAAATATTTAAACGAAGAGTGCTCCAGAACCCCTGGGCCCTTGGCTGTCACTGATAGCACGGGACATCAAAGGTCCACCTTTCAGAGGATCTGAGCTTCTCAGCTGTGACCTATATAAGACTCAGCACACAATTAGAACTTAACACTTGCCACTCGTTTGCAATGTTTGTGTGAGTCCTGAGTGCCCATGCTTTTAAACTGTGCTCCAAGAACTTCTAGAGTTTTCAGGAAATGTTTCAGGGTTTTCCTTGGTGAAAGAGAAATGACTATGGAGCCAAAATGGAAAGAACTCTAGGTCCTTCCTCCATCTTCCCTTCAACTAGGAATGTTCCACTTCTGTGTGACTTGTAGTGGGTTGAATAGTGGCCCCCAAAAATTCATGTCCACCCAGAAGCTCAGAATGTTATTCTTTTGGGAAACAGAGTCTTTGCAGATTTTATTATAAATTAGAGTGGGTCCTAAATCCTATGACTGATGTCCTTACACAAAGAGGAAATGATACAGAGGAGAACACCATGTGAAGACGGAGGCAGAGATTGGAGTGATGCATTTACAGTCCAAGAAACACCAAGGATTTCTGGCAACCCTCAGAGGAGAGAGGCATGGAACCGATTCTCCCTCAGAGCCTCCAGAAGGAACCAACCCTGCCAACACCTTGATTTTGGACTTCTGATCTCCTAACAGCCTTCTGTTGTGTTAAGCTAATCAGTTTGTGGCAATTCATTATGGCATCTCCAGGAAACTAGTACACTTATGTAATAGACTTTCTTTTTTTAACTTTTAAGTTCAAGGGTAAATGTGCAGGTTTGTTACATAGGTAAACTTGTGTCATAGGGGTTTGTTGTACAGATTATTTCAGCACCCAGGTATTAAGCTAGTGCTCATTAGTTATTTTTTCTAATCCTCTCCCTCGTCTTACCCTCCTGATCTTCAGACAGGCCCCAGTGTGTGTTGTTCCCCTCTGTGTCCATGTGTTCTCATCATTTAGCTTCCACATATAAGTAACAACATGAGGTATTTGGTTTTCTGTTTCTGCTTTAATTTGCTAAGGATAATGGCCTCCAGCTCCACCCATGTCCCTGCAAAGGACATGATCTCATTCTTTTTTATGGCTATATAGTATTCCACAGTGTATATGTACCACATTTTCTTTATCCAGTCTATTATTGATGGGCATTTAGGTTGAGTCCATGTCCTTGTAACTGTGAATAGTGCTGCAATGACCAAATGCATGCAGATGTCTTTATAATAGAATGATTTATATTCCTTTAGTTATATACCCAGCAATAGGATTGCTAGATCGAATGGTATTTCTGTCTTTAGGTCTTTGAGGAATCATCACATTGTTTTCCACAATGGTTGAACTAACTTACACTCCCACCAACAGTGTATAAGTGTTCCTTTTTCTCCACAACCTTGTGATGCAACTTTTAGACATGTTCTATTCATTTTTAAAATGATTAAAAACTGCATTGGACTATCTCCCCTCCTTTCCCCCATATGATCCATGCCCCATGTAGTCCATGTTTGTTCTGGGCTCCATGCTGAGCACCACACCTTGGATGAGCTGACATCAAATTCAACAAAATTCCCTCTCCTATGGGGCTGCTCCTGCCATCACCATCAAGGTGTCCAGAACCTCCCTTCCACTTCCTCCCTGTGCTTCTCCACCAGAGCTTCCCAAATTGCACTCATGATAACAACCCTAGAAGTGCCTTTTCAGTCAGCTTTAGGTATTGGAGTATGAGTACCTCTCAGGCCAACTTTGGCCAGCAGCCGGAAGAGAGGCAGGAGGATGTCATAGTCTGGAGAAGCTGTCCTCGCTGTGTCTACCAGGGTCTGCAGAAGAGCCTCACTGCCACCCTTGCTGATCATGTAGTGAATTCTCCGGTCTGTGCCTGAGGGGAAGCCAGAGGAAAGATGAGCCACAAGTAATAATCCCCGTTTTCCTTGGAGCAGAAGACAGACCTGACAGCTAGAGACACAGTAAGAATTAGTTCATTTCAATACATAAAATTGTGTAGTTCTTGATGCAACCTGTGTTAAAGTTGCACTATCAGTTAAGGAAAGAGGGTTGTGAAATGGGAAAATAGTGGAATATTTAAGAACCTAGTTGTGTTCGGCTGCAACAGCTGTAATAAATAGAGCTTACCTGAGAATCTGTTGAATATTTGGTATATGTATGTGTATGTGTGTACATGTATGTAAATATGCATATACGCTTTTGTATAATCATATACTTAGAAGAGGGAATCTCAGTATCCCTCTGCTATACATTTGAATCTTCCGTAACAAGGATTGGGATGATGGCCTAATCTGGAATCATTGTATTGATGGCATAATGATTTTCTGATGCTGGCCTTCAGAAACTGATGGGAGAAAATTACAGAAACCACTGGAATAATCCCTTGAGAAAGAAACATCCAATCATCCTATCTAGGGAATTTTGAAGAGAGTCTAGAGCTATGATGAACTATTGATCTTTCTACCTAAGTACAATTTTGAACAGGGATCTCCTCCACCTTGCCCAAGGACAAACTCAAAAGCAACGATTTCATTTCAACTTGGCCTTGGTTGATTCTCTCTATGCACAGGGCAAAGTTGACCTAACAAAGGTGGCCAACAGGGTGGTGCGTTATCAAAGAAGACCACCTGATTTTTTATCCTAATGAAAAGTAGCATTCTCTGCAAGAGGCACAGTAATCACCACCTTATCAGAGGGAGAACTTCAAGGTTTCATCTTAAGAGTTTCAGACACCTCTGGACAAATGTAAGACAGCACTATCCCAGAAAACGAGTGACTTCACTTACACAGGTCCCACACAAAAGACTAAACGTAAGTCATCCTGCCAGTGGAGCATAGCACAAACCATGGTAAGACCCCAATATGATGGGCCCCTTCTCCTTGAAACCATAATCCTGAGGATCTACGGGTCTGGAGTGTCATTTATTTCTGATATTGCTTGTTTGGTGTTAGTATTTCTTTCTAAAGTAATGTGGCCAGCATACATAAAAATGCAAATTGAGTGAGAGTTAGAATGTTCAAAAATCTCAGTAAGAACTTGAGCGAATAGAAGCATGCTCCAGTTAATCCCGTTGATTCCAATGTAGTCGACTCTGTTATCTTATCTCTGAAAACGTGATGCTTACATGCTTCCAAGTTCAGCTCCTGCCTGATATTCCTGCCTCTACTTGAAATAGCCAAGGTAGCTTCTGATACTCGGCTCTCTTAAATAGGTCACAATGGAAGTGAGCAGAGCAAGAAGAGGGGTAGAACCACGGAGGGTTACTACTAAATCTAATTTCACCCTCAATGTTAGGTGAGAAGACTGAGGAGTGCAAGTACAATCAGTCCAGGTTACTTGGGTCTTATTAACCTTACAGAAAAAAGATGGGCTAGTGATGCTGCCTTTCACAGGAAATTGAAGCAAGAGCAAACCCCCAGGTCACAGAGGTGCCTGGGAGAGATCACAGCCAGCAGGCTCCACGTCAACCATATGAAGGCATGAGGACATGGCCTACTCACCAACAGAAAGCAGATCTCCGAGGACCTTGAGGATGGTCAGGATGGACTTCTTGTCGGAGGAGCTCTGCAATGAGAACACAGGCAGCCATATTTAAGAATGCAAGAGGAAGGAGCTGGATGATCAGGGATGCACATGGAATGGTAGAGCTCTACTTCCTGCCATAGAGAAAGACTTACTGCAGCAAAAGGACAGACAAGGGGACTCACTTGGTAAGGGAACCAGGGGTTGTTCCTCACTCCATATTTAGTCTTCGGAACCCCTCTTTGCGGACCTATCTTGTAGTAACATCAGCAAGACAAACAAAAGAATAAGCAATAATGATTTACACAGAAAACAAGGAAGTAAAAGGGACTTTGTGGGCCAGGATAGCACAGGTCTGTTATTTCAGTAGACTTGGCTTATTTTTATTTGAGATGAAGTCTTGCTCTATTGCCCAGGCAGGGGTGCAGTGGTGTGATCTCCACTCACTGCAACCTCCGCCTCCGGGGTTCAAGCGGTTCTCCTG